ATTATTATTATTATTATTATTATTATTATATTATTATTATTGTTGTTGTTATTAGTAGTATTATCGTTATTATTATTAAATTATTATTTTTAGTTATTATTATATTATACAGCACAATGCTATATTTCTGATTGCTTACATCTTGTCAAATATTAATAATCGTGAAGAAATTATCATACAAATATTGAATTTTCAATAATTCATTTTTATCTGTTAATTAATTATTGTTGATTGATATTTGAGAAAAAATTTTGAATGAATAAAAGTTGAATTTTAGGAAAGAAATAAATGTTCCGATAAGGAAGAAGAAAAAAGATTCACGAAGTACTTCACGCAGTGTTAAAACAACACAAACAACACAGACAACACAGACGACACAGACGACACAAACGACACAACTAGAATCAAAAAAATAAGAAGTAAAAGAAAAAAGAAAAAGAAAACTGCATTACTAGTCGTATTCCATTCTATCAAATATTATTAATACATTTTTGATTGAAGTAAATGAAAATTTCAGTTGGAAAAATTGATACAATTGCAAAAAAAAAGCAAATGGTCACTTTGCTGGACATTATGTGACCTTTTCCATTCTTTTCATTTTTTTAAATAACCATGAAATACTTTTCATTATAAAAGCATTTAAATGCAAACTAGAACATAATTTCTTTTGCATTGGGCATAATTGGATATAAAGTGAGAGAAAGAATGGAATAATTTAAACTTTAGAATGAAAATTTAAAATATGACTTGGAAAGAAAAAAAAAACTTTAACCTACTATAAATGTCAATGAGTTTTAAATATTGAAAGGAAAAAAAAGTATTAAAATGCCGTAAAATTTTCTACTAAACTTATAATAATGGTAAAAGGTATATAGAATGAATGATTTAATGAAGTGCTAAAAAGAAAATTTGTAAACTCATTTGAGAAAAAACTTGAGAAAAAAATAAAATAACATAAAAATTATAAGTAAATGAATTAATTCATGTGATATTTCAATTTAATATCTTTTTTCTTAGTAAATATTGGGATTATATAAGGTGGATAATTTGTTGTGGAAAATTCGAAATCAATAAAGAATAAGGATGGAAAAGAGAAGAGAGCAAACAGAATGTTTGCAATTTCAGGATTTAGATTAAAGTATTGTTGTTAGTAAAAAATTTGAATTCAAATGAATTAAATTAGATAAGTAAATTTAATGATAAAATGCCAAAAAAAATATATGAACTTTGGAAATATTCTATAAAATATTCTTTAAAGTATTTAGTATTTATACTGTAATATCCGCTAATTTTAGTTAATATTAATCTAAAAAAAAAATGAATTACTTATTTGATATGATGGCTTTCTTATCAAATACAGTCCAAAGATAATGGAAGCTCAATACTTGTTGTATGAACTATTTATTCCTTTTTGAACAAATAATCACGATTTATATTTTCTGTGTCATTCAATTCAACTTCTTATCATTCATCTCAATGATGTGACATTTGACCTTTGTCTTCCATTGTTCTGCAGAATACTATTCCCTTGGACAAATTGACACTTTGCATTTATTGCGTAAATTAATACAAACAATGTATTTTGCATCAAATTAAAGATAATTCACTACGTATTTTACGTGCAGAAATTTAGTCAAAGTTTTTACGACAGTAATTCTCCACCGTATTCCCTGTACACTTCTTGATCCTTCGATAAGTGATATATAACTGTAAAATAAAAAACAAACAACACGACTAGAAATTTAACCAACATAATTTTCCCCAGTGTCGTAGAATTGGTTAACGATGTGAGAGATAGTAATAATGAGGACAAGAAATCAAGATGAAAGTGGCATTTCAAAAAATAAATCCAATCAGCTTATAACTAGAGTATTTCAATTACTGATAACTTGAAATACTTTCGATTCCATAAAAAAGCATCTGTAATGGTACAAGTGTAGATGAAGAAGGAAGATTGTTAAGAGCTGATTTGTTAGAAATGCTAGGAAATCAAATTAATTTTTTATCGTCTTTCTTTTCAGTACTGCCGTCATATAAAAACACCTGTCGGAAAATAAGATGCTGAAGATCGAGAAGTACCCGAAAAAGGGGCAATTGCAAATTGAAAAATATTTAGAATTGTCGAAACAATAAATTACATTGCGAAACGTAGGAGTGAAATATGGCGATAGCCAATTTATTTTTATTTTCTTATTAAGAAATCATAATTCATACATTATGAAGTATAACTTAATGTACAATAATTTATTCATAAAGTTTTTGATAATTTATCACGCCCAGATATTCCAACACATGAAAAAAAAATAAAAATAGGGGAATGGACTGGCTCTCCTACTTTTCCGATTTTTCGAAAAACTTCGAAGGAGCAACAGCGAGTTGTACAAGAGAGTTTAAAAATTTTTTCTACTCTTAGCCAAATTAATTGCGTTCCAGGACTGAAACCTTGTAATAAATAGATTCTGCACGTGTGGCAAAATAAGAATCTCAGAAAGTAAAAAAATTTAAGGTAAGCAAAGGACAAAATAAGCAAAAAATTTCAATAATAAACGAAAGGAATATAATCCGACACTATGAATTAATTTCACTATCACATTTCCGAATTTTAGCTGGTGAACATTCATCAGTTGCGGACAATGACCTCTTTTTCCTATTTTCTTGCTCTCCATCTTTTTTGTCCTGTAAAAGGAAAAAAATAAATAAATCGATTTACAGTTAAAAAAAGGAATCCTTGACACATACACTTTCGCACCTTTTTCAAAACAAGTTTCTTTTCCCCACTATATGAAAAACTGAAAAGCAAACCTACCAAATATCCATAAACAAAACTTAGCATTTTAACAACACTTATTGAAATACACTTATAGCCAAGAAGCCTATCAAACTTCATCCAGATCTGAACAAAATACAAATCAAACCAACCATTTGCTGTAGTGACACCAGTGTCCATTGCTATCACAAACTCGTCAGCCTTCAGTTCACTGGTGTGCTCAATACGAATCCGAAGTTCCAATCTTTGCAAGAAATCATCGCATTCTAAGATGCAACCATGAACAACACCCACTTTTTCCAGAATCCGCTCACTAATGGCTATAAAAAATCAGTCAAAAGGAGAACAGTATTTTAGATAAAGTATCTAAGCTATCAAGAAAATCTTTGTGGCTTCAAAATAACACGAGAGAGCTGATTTAACGAAGATTGAATAGCTTATAAAACGTAGCTTCTCCTACAGATTTCGAAACAAGTTTTTCATAAGGAATATTTTACGTAGACTTTACCATCTTGATTGTAGCAAAGCATTAATCTTCGCGTACATTTATAAACAATTTTTTGAAGTTTTCAAGACATATTAATATTGCTGCTGAAGAACTATTACAGGCGATTCTTGATTAGTGATTAGAAAAACAAGTGAAAAAGCTGTTACTTATAAGGAAGAGAAGTAAATGCTCACCTTTAGTTTCACCTACTTCACTTGAAATAATGATATTGCCAGTTAGAGAAATCATAACATCAGGTGCTACCATATGCAAAATTCCCTTTAAAAACTTGTTTTCCAACGAATGAACAACGGTTAATTTAACATTTAGTTTCAGTGTTATTTCTCGTCGTTCCGAGCAAACGTAACACTGTTGATTAGGCTTAGAGGGCACTTCCTCAATTAAAATTTTACCACGTGGATTTGGCTTCGGTTTTATGAAAACCTGTAAAAAAGAAAAAATGAAAAACTCTAGCTTCAAAATGTGACAAATCCTGTCATTGATATTTTGTCATTTGTATAAGTCCCAATCTTTTGTTTGTCTAACATATTTTTTCATTAGACAGCAAAACTATTAGACGATTTAGCAATATGTAGCTTAGAATTGGTTGAACAATTAATAAAATAACATATAAAACATGTGGAGAAATCAAACAAGTCATAGTTTCAAAATAAATAAAAACTAACATTTCGCAGTTTGTCCTTCGTACCGAAAACAACTTTTAGTGCTTCAGTAACGATCATTCCCGCTACTATAGCATTTGTAGTAGCAATTGCTGGTATAATATTGCCGGCCATCGCTGCAAAATAAATTTCGGAAATTTCAAATAGAGTACCCTAAACCTCATTTCTCTTTTATGCTATTCAGCCAATTCTAAGAATTACCAAATTCCTTTGTCTTTTCGAAATGCGTCAATGGTATTGCAACATTTTCCAAGTTCTTTTCGGAGTAAACGTAAAGACACTTGTCGGTTGTCAGTTATTTCATTAACATTCTTTCCTAGCGAAAAAATTAAGAGATGTTCTGTTAGAATTCGCAAAACAAAATACTACTAAAACTCTTTTCGTAAACTTACATTTTATATCGAAAAACGTTTTAAGAGGGATGCTAAAGATATGGGCACGAAGATTAGCACATGCTGCTACAAAATGCATTGCCGGTTCATCATCCTGAAGGAAAGCCATTTGCAATTCAAAGTTCAAATTAAAAGTAGCTTGGTAAAATACAGATCTGATAAATAAAAAATCAGAACTGGCTTATTAATGCAAAAAGCCTGCAATATATTTTAATAAAAAAAAATAAATGAACCAAACCTTATCCCACGATAACACTGATCCATCTTTAACACGTTTGCTCAATGTAGAGACAGCATTTTCAAAAGCTTCCTTACATTGCAGAACTGTCCAAAGCTCCGCGTTCGGTTCATTGTTGCTTGAACTTGCATCTAAATATGGTATGACATTTTTAAACCATCAAATAATAAATAACCTACAACAATTTTCGGAAGGAGTGCACTTCTAAGCAGTTTTTTTCAAATTTCCCTTTTTTCAAAAAAAAGCTCAAAGCTTTTTCAGAATTTTCCTTGCTTAAAATTAATTCAAGACAACAAGTTCTGGGATTATGAAATCCAAATAAATCACTAAATTTTGGATTCGCTCTATAAGAACTGAATGAAAATTATTTTGAAGTTTATGCCACAGCCAAAACTTACTTTCATTCGGAAGATTATCCCATTCCAGCGGAAAGGGTTTCCTTCTTTGCTTCCACAAATTCGTCATACTCAAAAGGTAATTGATATCACTGTGAAAGAACTGAAATATGACTTTTATAAGCATACAGAAAATGAAAACCTCAATTTTAGATGCTCCGCAGTTATTACAACCTAAACATAAAAACAAAAGCTCAGATATTTCTTGTTTGATTAGTGAATAAGTCCCATATCACATAAAATAAAAAATGTCGCAATGACAATCGCATAAAATCCTGAGTAAATTTATGGGAAAACATACTTTTCTGAAAAGAATTTTTGGGTCATAATCGTTTTCGACAGCCCATTTTCGTGTACTGATTCTATTCAAAAGCCCATCACTGTCACCATGTACAGGCGGATCACCACCATCATTTTGTTTCGTATTAAGAGTTGAATCTCCATTTTCTCCATCACTATTTATACTCGGACCATCCTGATTCTCAGCATCTGTTAAATCCGGAGACACTTCATCTTCGTCATCCGGCTCACCAAAAAGTTGACTGAAAACGAAGTTTTCAGTACTTTGACTATCACTACTACTTTGAATACTCCTTGGTACATTTTTGCAAATCACAAGAGCATCATTATCAACTAGTAACGCATATTATGCATTAATCCAAATACGAAATTGAAAACCATTTTATATAACTCTCACATAATTAACATGGGGATTGTCAAGAAGTAAAAAAGTATGTACTTAAAAAGATGTTTTGCCCAAACAATGCAATGGATATGCTCCGATGGTGTGTTACGGATCGTACATCCAGGATACGTTTTTTGCGCTGTCTTTGGATTACATTCATAACACTCGGTGTAATCACGAATTATTGGGCGTACCTGAATTTAAGGATAATTTTAACCAAGTTTTGATTCTATAACATCTTATTATAAAAGACATCTATCTATTAGGCTATTGAATGTATGAAAAACTTACATGTCCCAAATAACCGGAAGAACCACTTTCAATTAAAGGTACTCGAGCTGCTAAGCAAAGTCGATTGATATGATTTCGCGCGGCTGAAATAGGATAAACTTTGGAAAATAAAAATATTCGAGTTTCGCCAAATTCACCCAAAAGGAAATCATTTTCAGTGGTAAGAAAAACGAATATGTGTTACTTTTTGAGAAGGAAATTTTGAAAGTTTTAGAAACTTCTTAGTGCATATGTTTTACCTACCTATGTTATCCAGTGCACTAAGAACCACTGTAAATTTCTGGAAAAAGTCGACACCGTATTCTTCTCTAAAATAATGGAGAAAGCATTACATGGATTTCTGCAATCAAAATACCAAACATTTCATGAACAACATAAGTTCTTGCAAATCCCAGGTATTCCCAAAATTACTGAGTTTTGTTTAAGAAATATTCCTTGAAAATGGGCGACATACTTTAGCACTGAATCATGGTAGCACACAATTTTTACATTAGGAGCAATTGATCGAATTGCTTCTGCGGCAATAACTGCTTTTGGTTTACCAACGTGTTCACGACGAAACAAGAATTGTCGATTCAGATTGCTTACATCAATTATATCCAAGTCAATCTGTAACTGACAGCGGTAACTCTATAAAAGTAGTCATGAAGTTTGGATGAAAAAGCTGCCATATGAAAAACGCAAAGTTTTACAATTTCGATGTTGGAAAAGCCGGTTAAGGCTAAATTTTTGAGCAATTCGCAACCAATACCACCAACTCCAACAACCAATACAGGACATCGTAAAACTTCCAGGAATTGCTCGTTTTGCCACGTCATTATATTATCCCTAGAATGCCTACATTTATTAGTTGGTAACATTTCTCAAAATACACAAATTAATATAAAATAAATGTCGAACAAGTAACCATTAACTGTACCTGAATAATCAATTGTTAGATTTACTGACGACAATCCGCTTATCAGTTACTACCAAGTATTCATTAAGCTAGCAAACCTAAGTTTGCAATAACATACTTTGACCAGTAGATATGATGGTAGTAAACGAGAGAGAATATACCTAAATTCATTTTTCGTTTAAATATATTTGCAGAACTGTATACCTTATTTTTTGTAAAAAAAAAACAGATGCATGAATGTGTCGTATCTTTTCTTTCTAAACATTTTCTACAAAAGACATCGAAAATCTCAAATCCTAGCAATATCCTTATTTCTTCCCTTTCCTTTCACTTAATTCCATCAACTTTGTCCCGTATCCACTTTGACTCCAAAGTATCTCCTCAGACACCCCGCCTCACCGTGATATCTTGTCATCCAATCCCTCCCCCGCCTCACCAACCACCATCTCGAAACATGCTAACCCGCCATACGCAAATAACCACCGTACTTGGAATCGTTATGAGATTCAGTTCTAAACAAAAAAGCGCAAAAGTCCCTTTTTTGAGGAAAACGACCAGCTACCATTACATTTACGAGTTGTTCGACCACAGGATTTCACGTACGTACGCAAGCATAGAGAACGTGAAGTCAAGTACGTGATGACTCGATAAACCATAAATTAAACTATCAACGTAGCTGCTTCAAAAGTTAGATTCAGTGACTTCATTTTTTTTTAAATGAATCTAACCTGAAAAAAATTTAATTCCATTATCGAAATGATAATATTTAGATGGTTCAATTTCATTTTTGCTAATTAAATTCAGATATTTCAACTTCACCTTTATCGATTAAATACCAAACAATATAGTTGTAATAGAATAGTACCGAATGAGATTGGCTGTGGATTAATCCAAATAAATGATAAAACAAGCAACGAATTCGTAGCTTTACCTTTGTGCTGCCAACGATTCTTGTTTTGTATTCCCCAAACAATTTAGGAAAATGCGTTCGTTTTGAAATTCATCCCAAACTATTTTTCAATTTAAATTGAAAAATCCTTGAATTTGAACGGCTTAACTTTACTTCTCCCGATTAAATGGCGAAAAAATCCCTAAATCCAAATAATTCCCATGAGAAAATTCTCAAACCTATAGGAAAGCATCTGATAGGTATGTAACAACTTCCAAGCGAAATAATAGATCATATCACAATCTAATTGCTCAATTGAAGCTTTCAGAAACAAAGTATATCAAGACTGTTTAGATTTCAAAGAATGCAAATTGATCTTTCTTTGAACTACACATTTTAAGTGAGTATATATATATATATATATATATATGTTTCTTTTCTGGATTAAATGTACCAAAGTACCAGCGAAAAATCTGAAGTAGTATGTTGCTATCAAATATATGTAGTATGAAATTTTCAAAATACTGGATTATTTTAAGAGGTCGGTAAAAAAGTTTATCTGAAAACATAATTTAAGGGAAAAATAAGGAAATAAAATCTTCAAATAGGTAGTTGATTATCAATGATTGTACCTGTGATGTTTATAACAGGAAGCAGTAGCACTGCATGTTTCATCGTATTAGGAAATAAATCAAAATTTATGCAGAAATAATAGCTCTTGCTTTACATTTGAAACCAAAACGTTTGAAAGATGCGAATTATTTTCTATTCATAATGCTAGCATAATGGATCATATTTGAAATTCTCCGTATGTGCTTCACTTTCTCCAGTCTTCGTTTCGTTAATTTTTGTTTGTGGACAATCGTCCTCATTTATACCAGCAAATGTTTCCCTTGAAATCAGATAATTAATGAATGCAAATCTTGAAATCTCATTTTTTTACAGTAACAAAGTTCAAAGTTCTTCCCACTAATTAAAGTATTCAAAAATTTGTCTAATTAAAAAAAATAGCTTACCTGCCTGTGACAATGCTGTGCAATGAAAGAATAAAGAATCCAATCATATAAACAATCAAAGCAGCACTTAAATAAGGTAAATATGGAAGTAATGGTCCATTGAGCCAACTAAAAGAACTTTAATTAGAACATAAAATGGGGAAAATGCTCGTTTATTTTCAGAAATTCTTCAAAGCATCATCAAAATCCTCAAAACTACTCGTTTGGTTATTGCTGCGATAGTATGTCAAGTATACTTTAGATGGAATCCTTGAAAAAATTTCAGGATGTCTAATCCAAAATTATTTTCTTTTTTATCGAATAGACTTTTTTATTGTCCAAAATAGGCCAACAATTACATTATTATATAAATTAAATTAGACAAATAACGAAACCTATCGATTGCAAGTTTAACATTAGGCCTCGGTGGCATTTTTTGCCGCCGTTTATATCGTTCTTGTTCAGCCCGGTAAAATCTTTCCCAGAACTGGTCATCTCGTTCTTTTTGCTCTCTTTCATATTCATCTGCACGACGCCGTAACTCTTCGAAAACCTGAAAAAATATAAATAAAAGGAAAAAAACTGAATAGAAAGTCTAAAACAGTAAAAAAAATTTCCGTTCTGACAATAAACAACAAAATAATTGTCCAGTTTTCACTTCTTAGAAACCTTCCCTTCAAAAGCGTTCGTAATCGTCTCTTCAATTGTATTTCCTCTTCTTAAAATTTCCATACAAACATTCATAGATAAGGATGATGCCACTAATAATTACTCGACAGTTTTAATATCATAATAATGGTATCAAGAATCATAATAATGGTATCTAAATTAAATATACTAAAGTGTATGAAATTTTAACCTTCTTCAAATGAGCATCATCATAGTGCCAACTACTACGATACTGATTGCTACCCGCGTAACGATTACTTCGCCGGGTACCAAATCCAGTATTTTGCTTACTATAAGTTTGCTGATCGTAATCACAACTTGTTTGCGCACGATATGCATCGTATTCATTCCGGCTCTCTACATCTTTCAATACATCATATGCTTCTTTAATCGCGATAAATCGTTTCGTAAGCATGCTCTCAGCAGCACTCCCAGTGATATCCGGATGATACTAAAAATATGGAAAAGAAATCTGTGATTACTTCTCTTCATGAAAATTTGTTGTAATCTACAAAACTTATGTACAGAGCTCATCATTGGTATGAAAATGAGTACTTCATTTACCATAAAAGATGTTTGATTTTTTTATCCAATATAACTGTAAGGTAAGTAACTTGTTAATGCTTATGGCTTCATAGCAAACGGTAAAGGTAATGTATATATATCATAAAAGAAAATTAAGCCGACATTTAATGCTAAGAAAAAGAAAAAAAAAACTATACAGAGCTCATCACTGACATTAAAATCAAATAATCAAATACAGCTTAAGATATAGTAATGTGTCAGTGCTTATAGCCTCATATAAACGATAAAGATACTGTACATTTACTATGAAAGACGTTTTATGTTAAAATATTCCAGAAATAAAGAAATAATATTTATATAATATTATAATACCATCAAAATTACCTAATTTATTGATTCGATCACTAATAGTTCAATCATTAATAAGTTGTCATAAAACACCATTGATTTATTTTAAAATATATGATAATTATTCACATTATTTGCAAATTTTTCCTAACCTTTTTGGACAACATATAGAATGCATTTTTGATTTCTTGTTGTGTCGCATTATGCTAACTCCCAGTATATCGTAGTAATTTTTCTGATAATCAATTGCTTGTCGTATGAATCGATTAGATGAATGAAGGATTCGTTTCACTAGGATTAAGCGATATCCAGAAAACATTGTGAAAAGTAATTTGAATCATTCCAATGTTCAACTATCCATCTCATCAGTTCACTAATCATTCGTCCATTTTGCGATATGTAGGTAAGATGGAATCTAAGGAAGAGGATAAAAGTGAGGAATTAAATAAAAACAAATAATTATTCATAAACTAATTAACTAATTTTAAGTACGACAATCATGATAACACTTTCATGTGAAATGAAAAGAAAAATATAAGGGTAGAACTGTCCTTCATCAATTTATTTTTGTCATACTTCAAAATCAAGCCATATTCCAGGATAATGCTTCTTGAAAAATAACACTTCTCACATAAAACTCGAGATGTAATCAGATTTCAGACTAAAATTAAGAATTTACTAATTCTAACCGAAAAAAACGAGCAAGAAAAATGTTAAAATTCACATATTTGATTATGCTTAGCAGAAATAATTAAAAATAACAAAAATAAGTGTAAAAGGATCATATGAATGATTTTTTTTTAAAATCATAGAATAAACAATGAATGAATCGTTTTGAAAAATTTTATCATCTTAAAAGTTAAATTTTGTTTACAAATCAAGGTATATATAGAACAAAAATATGTTTGTTATGATTTGATAACACAACATAATTTGCAATTGTTTGAAGAATAAAATAAAATTGGATTTGCACAATAAATCCGTTTCAAAAGGTAGATTATACAAAGTAACCCGAAAATATTTCAATTTGGTGATGAAAATTACTGTTTCAATAATAAATGCAATAAAATGATTGAATAAAATGATAAAGTTGATTACTCAAAAGCTAATCGTAAACATGACAAAAGGACTAGTAAATGGTAGAGAATGAAAAAAGTGATGGGATTGCCCGATAATTAAGGAATTAAATTAAACTAAACAATTTTTTGTTCCACTTAATATTTTTGATTATCATTCATTCAATTCTCAATTGATTCATTTGTTTTATCTTAAATTATTCGGACTATTCATATAAGCATAACATCCATGTGGAAAGAAAAACTTTTCATAACTTGAAATAGAAATTATAAATTGGAACCATAAAATCGAACTTAAATTTCAATATTATCCCAACACTTTTATTTTTGCTAAATCTACTTGATCTACTATCAGTCGAATTTACCACCAGCATATTAAAGTCAATTTATAAAACTGAAATATTTCACCTTGTATCTAAATAAGTGCAATAATCAGATTTTTAAATTAAATTAATTATTGCCAAGACCACCCAGAATCTTCCAGATGACCAGGATTACCGAGAATTTTCCGCATAGATTTGATGAGCAAAAGAACAATAGTAACTGGTTGTCACATTTAATATCACCGATTTAAAAAAAGGGATATTCGAGAAAATATCGGAAAGGTATAGAAGTTAATGCTTTTACAAACTTATTCTTAAGCATGTCCATGATTTTTTTTGGTATCCTTACTTCAACAACTTACGAATTTTTAGTAATCAGACCATGATAAATAATAAGACCCTAAAACCTGGTATCCTTCAGTAAATTGAAAACATATATGTTTTTCTTTCAAAACAGATATGGTCACTTCTAGATAGATCAAATAAAACGTATGATAATATCGGCAAATATGAGCGAATATGTGTATCTATACACACAAATTTTCGCTCCTACGTTCTTACATCCATATCGGCTTTTAGGTTTTTATCAACTTCCTCGATTCTTTCTTTCTCGACTTTTAGTATTGTTTAGGGATATCGTTTCGAATCTTCAATTTCCATTTCTTTTGCCTTATTTCTTCGCATCATGTGTTCAATCCATTCTTTTCGTCGAAACCTGGAAAGTCAACGATTTCCGTGAAATTTAAAATGTACCACCTGAATTCCAGTAAAATAAACCATTTTAAAGTGAGAAATTACAAAAAAAAAAAGATGAGGAATGGTATTACCAAACTACACTTGCATGGATGGCAAAAATATCAAAATCATCCGAAAATCTACAAGCAGTTTTATAGCTTTCTTTAAATAATGCAAAACTTCGCTTTATTCCGATGTAACAAAATAATATTCTCTTCCAAAATTTTGAAAAGGCTTACTGTTCAGTTCGCACGCGTATAATGATCGAAAATATGAAAGATATAACGAAAAAAGCCAACATTGTTTTCGTCCAATAGTCTACAGTATTTCTGAAATTTTCTGAAGTCATTTTCAAATTAATGAAAATGTCAGCTTAATACTCCTATAAAGATTTTTCATTCCTTGTAGTAATAGCAGGATCAGAGCAAAAATTTTTCAAACCACTCTCGAATTTACTGACGATATTTATTTTCGGGTTTTCCAAACCACTCTCTACATTTACTGACATATATGAATAATAACTGATTGAAAATAATCCTGTCCCAGTCTTCTGATATTTTATTCTTTGAAAGGGATGAACTTGGCCTTCTTAGAAATTGAATTGAAAGTAAAATTTCTATAATTGAAAAAAAAGTGCTGAAATTACAATTAAATCACAAAGAAAAAAAGATGATTACTTCCGAATCCAATCTGTTCCTACTTGATCCATACGTCGACTCTGATACCATTCGTACCATTTGTCATTATCATATTGCGGTGTTCTTGCGTAAAACTGAAAAACTAATCAAAATATAGCTTAATCCGAGAAAAAGTAATGATAAATTTCGTTCGATAAACTCACGTATTTTTATCACTCATCTATGACACCGTGATATCATTTCTTCTAGAACTTTTACTCCAGTGTTCAGCATCTTTTATAAGATAACTTTATCACCTCTTATAAGATGAACGACACATATTGTAAGTTTAAGATTTACCAGGACTTCACCGTGTTTCCTGGAGCAAAAATATATTCGCAACAAATTTCTTTATATGGAAATACTCCGATGTAATATGTAAAATGACCTTTAAGGAAGCAATTATTATTAGGTTTCACAATTAATCGTATTCACTGGCCATCAGGAAGTAAGTCGGCAATAGATTTTGCGTTTTATAAAATTCCCATTCCCCCAATATAGCACTGTTTTCTTTTTTCTTATTCCCCTCATATCAAAGACTAACAATAAATGCCATTAAAGTGTGCTAAATTTGTAAATCTTTGCATTGGTAGATGGTCGAATATTTGCTGAAGAAACTACAGGATTTATTAATGTCGCATAAATGGCATCAAAAAACTGGATATAAACCATCAGTGTAAAAGCTTACATTTGATGGATCGCATTTTTTAAAATTCTGACCAGTTGTTCCACCGTATTTCCCGTATGTCCGATGAGCATTGAATGTATTGGTAAGTTCTAAATCATAGTCTTGTCGCTTTTTCTTATCTTTTAACACTTCATATGCATCCTTAATTTCCAAATAAATCGCTACTTGTATATTAACATTCCCAGATTTTCTCAGAGCATCCGGATGATACTGAAACGATAGAAGTGGGTTAAAAAAAAAATGAATTTGAATAAGCTAATTTATCAAACTGCTTTTATTTCTCCAACAGTAGCATATCTTATTATCATGGAAAAGGATAGACAAAGAACAACTGTAACTTTCAGGAACATCGAGAGAACCATCCCTTCGTTACCATTAACAGATCCAAATCACTAGAAATCACAAACAATAATTAACAAGTCTCGAGTTGAGGACAATTACACTTGTTCAGATTCTATCCATTTTGCAGTACGACTTCCTGCCGTCTCATTTTTGATAACTCTCTCATAAGCAAATATTTTTTAACCATAGAAAATTTAAGCTACATCTGTAGAGTTTCCAAAATAAACATCGGAGTTAACTTTTCCTCTTCCACTCTAATTTTCGAATATCTCAACTGATTTCTGGATGAATGTTTCATTCAACAAAATTATGAATCAATAAACTATTGTAAACGATAACAAAAAAAGAAAAATAATGAAAAAGTAAATATGAAGAATGCTATAATGAATTTTCTTATAGCAATTAATTTATCATTTGCGAATAATTAATCGCCATATAAATTAGGAACAATACTAATAATCAATAATTAATAATAATAATAATAATAATAATAATAATAATAATAATTTAATAATAATAATAATAATAATAATAATAATTAATAATAATAATAATAATAATAATAATAATAATAATAATAATAATAATAATAATAATAATAATAATAATAATAATAATAATAATAAT